GATAAGCTACCCCTTCTTCTTCCATCCTCTTATTGTGATGCTTTCAGCTGTATCCTTGATGATGCGCTCAGCTATATCCTTCGTGTCCTTGATGTCTTTGGTTTCCTTGGTGTCCTTGGTAATTCCAGTTGTGCCTTTGGTAATGCGTCCAGCTACGTTCCTAGCATCCTCTCTATATTGGTTTTTCATAGCAATGCGAGCGGCTTTATCTTTGACATTCTTTCTGTACTATCCCTCCTTTTCCTTCACCTAATCCCCTTTCTACAATTGCAATTCGTGCAGCTATATTCCTCGTGTCCTTGGTAATACGCCCAGTTGTGTTCTGGGTGTTCTCTATCCCTTAAGGCCAGTGCGAGCGGCTGTGTCTTTGGCATTCTTTTTATACTGTCCCTTTAGCGGCTATGTCCTTGATATCATCTTTGTGCTGCCCTTCTTTAAAGGCTGTGCGAGCAGCTATATCCTTAACATTCGTTTTCCTTGTACTGTCCTTCTTACCCCAATTGCAATGCGAGCTGCTGTCTTCTTAGTGATGCTTATGCTGTGTCCTCGAAAATGCGTTTAGCTATGTCCCTGGCATTCTCTCCGTACTGCTTTCTTTTTTAATTGTGATGCAATCAATTGTATTCTTAATATTCTTTCCGTACTGCTTCCCTCCTCATAGTAATGCGCTCAGCTGTGTGACTGGTATCCTTGGTAATGCACCCAGCTGTATCTCTCGTGTCCTTGGTAATGCGTTCAGCTGTGTCCTTGGTATCCTTGCTATAGTAATGCGCCCAGTTGAGTTCCTGATGTTTTCCGTATGCTGCATCCCCCCCCTCTCCATTAAGGGCAGTAAGAGCGGCTGTGTCCTTGGCATTCTCTTGATACTGTTCCTCCTCTTCCAATTGCAATGCGAGCGGCTATGTCCTTGACATTCTTCTTACACTGTTCCCCCTCCCCCTCCATTACCCCCCTCCCCCTCCATTACCCCCCTCCCCCCCCTACCAACCCCGTCCCCAATTGTAATGCGAGCTGCTATGTCCCTAGTGATGCTGTTAGCTGTGTCCTTAATGAGACGTTTAGCTGTATCCCTAGCATTTTTTGCGTACTGTTTCCTTTCTTAAAGTGATGCCCCCAGCTATGTCCTAAATAAAGAGCCGCGATCCAAGATGATATCAAAAGAAGAAAGGAAAAGAGACTAGACCAGATCAAGTGAAGTGTTATGAGCGATACGAGATTGAAATCTGAGGGAAACCCCCTTCAGCCCGGTCGGACCTAATATAGTAAGCGTATGGCCGAAGGACAAAGAAGCGCTCAGCCGTGGAACTTTCGTTTGCACGAAAATGATAAAGATAAGAATCGAAGAAGATGGTTTTATCATAGAATTATACCGGAAGATAAGTAATGCGCTTGTTTTGATCATCTTGAAGTATTGTAACCGGCATTATGGCTTACGGCCTTGAGCGGCAGAACAATTAAAGAGGCTTAAAAGAGTGCAATTGTTCTGCCGCTCAAAGCGGTGAGCCACACTTTAGCCCTAGCACCTCCGTATGGCGCGGATGTCCGGGAACTCCTGGAATTCCTGAGCCTTATCACGTGCTATGCCGAGGAACTCCTCGTACTCGTTGCCACTGCCTATTAGTATTGGCAGTGTGCAAGATGCCTCGGTGTACAATATCTTGTACATTGTTGTATACGACAGGGCTGGCTTCGGTTCGGTTCTGCGATTCTCACTGTGATCTATCTAATCTCTAAGGGAAGGGCACAGCTATAACACCTTGAACTGCTTTCTATACCGTAGATGTCTTGTATGTAACACTTAGCTCAGCATGTCGCCGTATCCTATGGGAGGTCCCAGGTCGGCAGGCTCCGCTTGCAACCCGCTCGACGTTAATAAATATAACAAAAACAATAACAACAACAACAACAACGTCTATATAAAGATATACAAGTCTAAGAGAGATACGTAACGACGAACAGAAAGAGATATATAAAGATAGATTAATAAATATACAGATAGAAAAAAACATTACACCTTTGATCGTTCCATTACATTCAGGCAAGTTCCAAGAGTTCTTACGTGATAGGCCTTCCAAATTCCAAGGGCTCTTACGGGATAGGCCTTATACTACGTAGGTTCCAGGTTTTCAGTCCCGTGCAGAGATGCGGGCAAATTCCAATTCACCGGATTTGCTATCGCAAGCGCCGGCAGCAATCGAGAGAAGCTTTGTCGATCTCTCTTTTGATTTACCACGGTACAGGCCTAAGTACGTAGTATTACCCCTCGAGGGTGCCTCAAAAGTTTAGTTTCCACTTTAAATCCCCTGGTTACTCTACCCTCGAGGGGTAGTACTTACGCCTGGGATGTAGTAGTATGCTGCCCGATCGTACCAAGTGATTGAATCATAAGATTCGAAAATTGTGCCTTCTGAAGCACTTGAAGGTCCGGGATTACCTTAAAAGACTGTTTATATGGCAGGGCATAAAAAGCAATACCCGGGTTTCAGGAGTTCTTACGTAATAGGCCTTGCAAGTTCCAGGACTTTCAACGTAATACTCGTGCGGCCAGCATATCTGTTCTTATGCGTTGATCTTTTTAAAATAAAAGGAAGAGTTTATAATGGTTTGTATGGCTAGCTACGCTTACACAGAGTATTTCATTAATTTGACTACATATTTGGGTCGGCTTTTAGCATAGGGTCAAGTAAGTAATAATATGGTAGCCGCGCAAGTAGGCCTTGCAGGTTGCAAGAATTCCTACGTAGTAAGTATGTAAGTTCCAGGAGTTCTTAACTCCAAAAATTGAAACGATATCATATCTTCATTTAAAAAGGATTACGCGCCAAGGATATTTAATAGTGAAGCACGATAGACTTAGGGCGATAAGAATATAGGCGTGGTGTTCCAAATACTCTCCCGTATCCCTTATACGAAGGCGCTGAGATGACCGGATGCCGATCAAGATTCAGCAGGTTAAACCGTGCCGTGCCCTCCTTGACTTCCAGCTTCTGGAACCTAGCACTTGACATCTGACTTTTGATCTGACCTTTGACCTGACTTTTGACCTGACTTTAGATACTTGGCTAGCACTTGACTCCTGACTTCTGGCCTTTTAAATCTCATCCTACTTCTGCCACCTCGACCCCGACTTCTAGCCGATCTCGACCTATCTAACCCAATACAGCACGAGGATCCAGCTGTTCGTCGTATGTAAACAACACCGGTACGACCTAGCGCATTCATCTCCTTTCTACACGTGCGATTACATTCTAATCCCTCCACCCCTCCCCCCCCCTTCTACTCCGAATCATCGCGGCCTCCAGCAGCTGCGTAGGCGCAACGAAGGCCAAAATTGTCGCCTACTTTTTATGTCTCAATAATCTCGAAATGCGCATTGCAGCGTGCACTGAGCCGATCCACGAGCGAACTGATTAAATCAGATCAGCTTAAAATGGGTTAGAATAATGAGCCTTGCTAATACGGCGAGAACAGAATAGAAATTCTTTATTAGATATAGCTAACAAATTTCCTAAGGGAGGAAGAGGATAAGATTATTTATTTTCTATAATTCTTTACTTTTGACGCCTTTGCCCGCTTTGCTTTAACTTGACTTTTAATACTTAATATTTGACTTTTAGCTTAATTTCTGATACATGCTTTGCATTGCCTTGTATAATCACTGTCGTACTACGTCGCAGGCGTAAGTATTACCCCTCGAGGGTACGGAAAACAGGGGTTTTAAAGTGGAAACTAGACTTTTGAGGCACCCTCGAGGGGTAATACTTAGGCCTGTACCGTGGTAAATGCGGACTGGTGTCTCAAAAAACTTTGAGCGCATGCTCCGCTGCATCACAGCGTTCTCGTCTTATTATTGCCAACCTGACAATATTAAGAGCCAGGTGTATCTAAGGCCGCCATCTCTGCCTAGTGTTTTTCCTCCTTCCTAAGTACCTCATTCCCTTTCCTTCGTTCATTATTCTCGTAGACAAGCCGAGCGCGATTTTCGGCAAGTGTTTTATCGTCTTGGAATCTTTGGAATGGTACTTTTATTACGTCCTTTATCTCTTCCTCAGTGTCTTCTTCTTCTTATTCTACTTCTTCATCTTCGGCAGGCTCGTAGGTCTTCTTTTCGGCAGCTCTTTCAGCTGCGTTGGTTGCATTTGCTGTGGCTATGCCAGCGATCTGCGCAAGAGTTCTGGTTCTAGGGGTTTTTATGGAAGGCTGAAGGTCGATGGGGATTAGCTGATTCCTTCGGAGCTCGCCGCGATAAAGTTATCTGATTGACAGAATCATATGCGGAAGCAGTCATCTCTTACATTAAGCTTAATCGTAATGGCCTGTGGACACTGGAAGGGCCCAAACAACCTATTAGTTCCGGCTGGTGGGCACGGATGGAGCTTGTAAATCTTTCACTCGCGGGCCTTATGCTGCACTTTTCGAACGCACGCCGCGCCGGAAGTTGGGCATAGCGGACGAGCCCGTAGGAAGCTTGATTACTTAGAGTTCCTTCGGAAGAACCCGCTTTATCTTATGTATCAGAGGTCAAAAGTCGGAAGTCGGAAGTCGGAAGTCGGAAGTCAACATTCAGGTGGCAAGTATCAGAAGTCAAGCCAGAAGTCAGAAGTCAAAAGTTAGAATTCTCAGACAGAAGTTCGCTTAAAGCATATTACGTGCTCTTAAACTCCTGGAACTCCTGGAACTCCTAGAACTCCTGGAATTCTTAAAACCCCTGGAACTCTTAGAACTCTTAGAATTCCTGGAACTCAAGTAGGACCAGCAACAGCCGCGCCGGCCGCCACCTTCGAAGACCTGGCCAGCAGGACTACCAAGAGAAACAGGAGAAACAGCCGCCCCTTCTACCTAACAGCGTATTCGGCCACCGATTTTCCTATATTCTAATAATTAGTCCAGTAGAGATCCTTTACCGTTTTCTCCATAACATAGAACTGGGGCGTGCGGGTCCATCACTGGTCCATGATAATTGTAATGGATTAGTGATGGACCGTGGATATAACGTTCGCCCAAGTAAGTAGGTTCTTTACGAACTATAATTACAGCTTTACTTTACAAGATTGTATCTATTCTTTAAGGTATAAAGCTTAGAAAGCTCAATAGTCCCGTACCGTTATGATGGCCATTCGAACGATTTTTTATGTGATCTTGGCCTATAGGGTAACGGACCTGTACTAGATCTTACGAGTGCGGTACAGTTGTAATAATCGAGTAACAGACCGTATGGATAGCGTTCGTCCATCCTGTCTGTGACAATCATATTGACCCACATAGTTATAATAGACGTGTGGCCGAAAGGGCCCTAGAGCCGTGCGATGCGCTTTAGGATCTCCTGGAAAATCATGTGAACTTTATTTTGAAAAATGAAAGGTCGAACTTCTATTACTAAATGCCACGCGCTCCGAGAACTCGTGGATGTCCGAAGCTTGTTACTTAGATTCCTGAAATGATCAGCTTTTAAAATAATAAAAGTTCGAACTTCTATCATCACATGCTATGCGCTCCTGGAACTCTTGGAACTGTTAGACGGCACATCCGAACATGATTTATACTTTTTTTAAAAGATTTTTGGCCAAATTTTAGTAATAGTAGTAGTAGTAGTGGTGGTGATTTACGTTGGGCGGGTATTCTAAACGCAATGCTTAGACCTTGTAAACATCCTATAGATTACAGCGAACGTGCTAAGTATAAGTCTTGTATATATAGTCTTTACAAGCATTACAAGTTGATTCAGCGCAGTTGTTATCGACTATGCTTTTCACATATAGTATGGATCTTAAAAAAGAGAATTTTTTCATCGAAGGAAAAACTTAAGAGCATATTGCAGAAGTAACTTGTGTCGGTATCGATATCGACATATTTCGAAGCTGGGCCTCAGGTCAGCCAAGTGATTCGAAGCCGAGAAATGCCAGCTATGCACGCGAACCGCTTTTCGAAAGCGCAATATCGTGGGTCGTCTTAAACCTCTTCCTATCTCTCATACCCGTTCTTTTCGAAGAGGCAGCGTATCGATGGATTCAATTTCAGCTTTCAAGATTCTCTGCCGCAGAAGAGAGCTGAAGTTTCGTACAAGCAAATAATTATAGCCTCTCGGGCTCTTGGCCAAAGATCGATGGGAAGCTGCTTTTCCGAGGAAACATACTCGGTAGGTTGAGTAAACACACACGCTGCTTAACTCTCTCTGCTTATATTCTTTGAGGACCTCTTTAATAGCGTCAACCTTCAAATTTTCGATCTTCATATTGAACTTCGATTTCACATTTCTGCCAAGCTTCAAACACACCACCGCGGTTCTTCTCGATTCGGCCTCGATACATTCAATCCCGAGCTAAGCGTACCTCCCCGACTCGGCCTCATTAAAATCAATCCCACGGATCCCACACATCTCTGCTAGCCTTAAGAACACCTTTGCACTAAGTCATACTTCCATCAGCTTCGGAATCTTACAACTCTCTGCCAGCTTCAAAAACACTCTCGCCCTCCTCGGACATCACACCTCAACTTTGATTCTCACTCTTCGATCTGCAAGCTTCAGAAGCCTTCTTCTTCGAAACTCGACCTTTCGCGCCATCTCAAGAATAATACCGCGATTTTTATCCTTCTCTGCCAGCTTCAGAACACACCCCGGCCAATTCAGCTAATTTTCGAGCAGTTTAGCCATCTTAAATTTCGCGGATCGTCTTAATTCGGCCTTATTACAATCAATCCCGCGGATCTCACTCTTCGATCTGTCGGCTTCAAATATACTATCGCGGTCCTTCCCGGTTCGACCTCAATACATTCAATCCCGAGCTCCGCGTACCTTTTCAATTCGAATCTCACCCTTCGATCTGCCAAGCTTTAGAACACACTCTTTACTTCTGCTAGCTTTATAACATATCCCTCCGATTCGGCCTTAATACATCTATCAATCTTAAGCTCAGCGCACTTTCCAACCTCGGTATACTTATCAACCTGACGATGACGATGGCTATGGCAATAGGTACGATGATAAAGAATGGTGAAATGCCCGATGAATGAGCAAAGCATAAGATTAGTACTGGATTTGTATATAAAAGTGATGTTTTCAAGCTTTGCTTCAACATGGATTTGCGATTGGAATAGAACCCAAGGGACTTGATGGACACCGAAGGAGGGCCGAACTTTTATAATTGCTATGGCTACAGCAATAGTAAAAAATAAAAGTTGCTAGTATAAGAATGTAGTAGTAGTAATAGTAGTAGTAGTATTGATTTACCATCAACTGCGCCCTTCCCTTACGGATAGGATGGATCATAAAGATAAAGGCCTGTCGGCGGGGTGTCAAACCAAACAAGTGAGGCAGGTAAGGCGCCCGGGTAAAGGCACGCGGATTCTGGGGCTTGCAGTCCGTGTAGAGCACAGCGTCAGCTTTTTTTCTAAGGACAGCAAGCAGCCAGCCGCAATATAAAGATGTAAGCACCAAATTACGTAGTTTCACTAAGTACGCCGGCCTTAGCACCAGCATATAGCTCTCCCTCCTACTTAAAATAGTTTCGCTCCTTCAGACTTCACGAATATACTTTAGTATACAGATTACTTATACTTGAGTATAGTTCGTACTTCTCACCACCGGTTTACTTATCCTGAGTAGGCAGTCGTGGGAGTCAGTGACGAAGCCTTACTCGTGTGGCCAGCATGTTTGTCCTTACGTCGAAAATCTCCTAATTACAGAGTCAGATTTACTAAACTATGGCGTAGCCAATTATATAAATCGTTGCAGCCCTTTTCCCTGATCATTGGTTTAAAAAGATCAACGCATAGGGACAAATATGCTGGCTGCACGAGTAGGGGTGATCCAGCGGCCGATGATTAATACGGTGGCTATACTCCTCCCCTCCCCCCCCCCAATGAATAAAGAGGAAGAAATAATCGTCCATAAATCTTGATTTTGAGAGAATCCTATTTTACAACACTTCGTTCCTTCTTATTGAGATGTATAGAAGAAGCTTTATTAGTTTGGCATTTGTTACAGGTACATTAATACTGATCAAGATTCATTGTCAGCGCATTGATTATTACTTTTCGGTTTCTAAAAAAAATCCGACAAAATCAAACTTGGCTGCGACTTATAGACGTCAAACTAGTGAATCTTCTTTAGTATATCCTAACAAGTATCGGAGTAAAAATTGTTACAACAATAGTTTTCTCTTAATCTAGTATGGTATCTATTATTTTGAATTGTTCTGTAGTTAATTAGACACGTAGCTACTTAAGTGATTAATAGGATTGCTCGTACAAAGCGTCAGGAACGTGCAACGAAGAAGTAGGTGCTCTCAAACACAGGTCCAAACGTGTAGCCGAGGGCTGAGCGAAGGGCCTAAACAAACGTGAAGCATTGCAATCGTTATAGCAATGCTCTGACCCTTAGATAAATATTTTTGCGAATAAGCTATTAAAACTCCCTTTGAACTTGATTACATTTAAGTACTAGTACCTCCTCCCCTTCCCCCCTGCCCCCCCCCCCCCCAACCCTACTCTCCACTCTCAAAATCCTTCCCCATCGATCTTCAGACTTTTTAATGGATACCAAAACTCTCGCACAGATCGCTGGCACAGCCAGAGCAAAGGCAACCAAGGCCCAAGGCAGCGAGGAGAGATGCTGCAGCTGCGAAGAAGACCCGCGCCGCGCCTCAGCGCTAACCCTCGAACATGCCGAACAAGAACACGTGGAGGAAAATGACAAAAAGATCCGAGGAGGAAGTAAACGACGCGAAAGGCCCTTTCAAACGTTTCCTTAATGAATTACATGTCGAAAAGCGCGCTCGCCTTGCTTTCGAAAACAAACAAGGGAAGAAAGAAAATAAACGACGAAGGGAAGAGGAAAAACACCAGGCAGAGATGGCTACTCTGAGCAACTACAGCCCCCTCGCTTGTTAAACGGTAATACGAGGATATAAATATAAGTGAAATGATTCTTGATTGATTGTCTGATGAACTTGGGAAATAGCCCTCTACTTATACATCTGGAGAGGTCTTGACACGTGATAGGTCTATCATCTGACCACATCCGACATCGCTTATACTGTTGAGAGGTTGGGCAAATTATTATGGTAAGACTTCCTTGAACTTTCAGCAATACAAAAGCGTTTCTACCTTTCGGAAGTACAGTAAAAAAGACCTTCGAAAAGAAAGCTCCGCTTCCGTCAGTAAAGCAGCTAGAGGCCATCACATCCCCTGCTCCTCAATTTTCTAGTAGCAGCGAACACGAGAACGAGTAGGAGGACATCGAGACCTCGCCCATCAATTCAGCCCTCAACCAGCTATATCACGATACAGCCCTTAAGGTCGCCTTTGCGGGCTTCTTAAGCACTAAGGAAATGAAATATGAAAACGTGGACCTCGAGAACACAAAAGTTTTCGGAGCTACGAAGCTCCAGCACCGCGATATATCCAGTATTGGATATAGAGATCAACTTGCAATGCATCTGATGATTGCAGTTGCCGCTTGGACTGTCCGTACAATTTCTATGACGAATGGACCTCGGCAACTGCAGGCTCTGTGATGACGTATGTACCCCAGCGACTGCAGGCTCTATTACCGGTATCTGACGATAGTACTTCCTTCAGCAGCAGCAGTGGTAGAGTCTTTCTGGTAAGGCCAGTGACTGGATTGGTGAGCGCAATGAGGGACTCGAAGGAGACAATCTTACAAGATTCCGTAAGATTAATTGATCTGATGCGAAATAGATGCTTGCATATAAAGTAAGACGGGCCTTCAAGCAGAATCAGAGTATTGCTGCTTCGGCGCTGTGTGATGGGCAGCCCCTTCCTCCACTATCACGCGCGTTCGTGCTTCTGACCTTCATTGAAATGCAGCCAAGCTTTCCCTTGTGAGTGGACAAGTGCTACGGCCTGTCACGCTGCCGCCAGATGTCTCCTGTGTCGAATGATCTCGACAGATGGAAAGGATTGAACTTTCATAGCTGGTGCAGCAGTAGTAAAAAGAAGTATAAGATAGCAACGCACAACAATGTAAAGGGCAGAGCATAGCAAGGTAGAGGGCAGAGCACAGCAAGGTAGAAAATAGGGTGATATAAGGGTAGGTGTACTTAATAGGATGATGGCAGTGTTGGCCTTGCAGGTTTTACATGTGATAAGCCTTAACCGAACTCTTGGAACATTTTGGTGAAGAAAATTCCGAGAGTTTCCATATGATAATTTGGCTTAAGCGAACTCCTGGAATTTTCTTCACCAAAACGTTCCGAGAGTTTCCACGTGATGATTTGGCTTACGCGAACTCCTGGAATTTTCTTCACCAAAACGTTCCGAGAGTTTCCACGTGATAGGCTTCATGCGAATTCCTAGCATTTTCTTTCTTTATTAAAAAATGCAAAGGGTTCTTACGTGATGGGTCACAAGCAGATTTCTGATGCTTTCATAGTTTAATATCATGGAAAGATCTTACGGTATATATTATTAAAGTATTCTGCGGCATACCGACTTGCACAGCTCGCGAAGGCCAGCAGCGCCCAGTCTATGCAGCTTGGGTGAAAGCACGGAAGTCACGATCCAAGGGCACGGCACGCATGCCTATAAGCACAGCTATCCTGTATCTGAGACTTCTCTAAGAAATAGCAATAATTAATACTAAATGCTCGCTCCTAGAAGACAGAATCCAAAAGACGAGACCTTTCGGCCGTTTACAATTTTCTTTTAATGGCTGCGTACCGGTAGTCTGCAGGGGTCGTGGGGATTAGCTGGGACAACATCTTGGCTAGCAGCAAGAGGATCTCTATCAGAATCTTCAGCTTTGCCCTTAACATCCAAGCATTGGATGGAATAACTTGTCCATCGGCTTCGCGAAATTCAAGCTTCTCGAATAATTCGTAAGGAGAACATCTCTCGATCCATATTGATGTAGTAAGCGGTAATACCGGTACATCCTTTTCTAGTATCGGGAGCACGTGCTAGGCCTTAAGCGAACTTCTGGAATTTTTCTCACCAAAACATTCCGAGAGTTTACACGTGATAAGCCCTATATATTCTAAGAACCCTTATATAATGAGCCTGGAGAGTTCTAATCTGGCCGCAAGAGTATTTACTGCTTTTACTGCGACGTACAATTGAATTTCAAGTGCAGCGGTTCCTTTGCTGAAAAAAAATCCTAGAGGTTCCCCGTGCTAGGCCTTATGCGAACTTCTGGAATTTTTCC